CTGTCGTGAAATAGGACAGAACGAACTGCTGTGCAGTAAACACGTCCTTTGGTTGATAGACGGATATCTCGCCTACTCCATAAATGACGCAAGTTGGCAAAAGCTAGTCGAGCCTTTTGTATCCGTGCAGAGACTTCTTCACACACCAGACCACAAAGGCTGATGAGACTCCCGAAAAAGTGAAGCGGTTGACACGCTCCATTACTTCACTCCCTATCATTAGTTCGGGTGTCAATGCAACCCAATCCTGAAGCAACATTTTGTGTTACGAGGGAGAGAATCGCATCCCGAACATGCTTGGATTGTTGCTTAGAGTGGTCATAAGACTCTGCATTTTGTCAGCGTCTTCACCAAATAGAACTATGTCATCGGCATATTCCAACTCAACAAGTGAATCTCCTGGTAGAAGTTCAACCCCTGGAAATTTAGATGAGGAAAGTGTTATCTCTAAAAGCACGTCAACGACAAAGTTAAACAAGAATGGAGAGAGTGGGCAACCCTGACGAACACCACTTGAAGTAATCAATTCTGATGACAGTTCGCCATAAGCTCTCACTCGACCAGTTGTGTTCGAGTAGAGAGCCTTTACAAGGTTAATGTACTTCTTCAAACCACCATTCAGAGAACAGGGACCAATGATCTATCGTCCCCAACAGACGCATAAAACCCGTATGAGCAGTCTAGAGTCCTTATCGGTCCCGCTTCCCGCCTAGCCCAAACTGTTAAGTTCAAAACACCAATCTTAGCCTATGCGATATGAATCATATATTTCAAACATACTGGGTTTATATACCAACCAAACAGACTACATCGTACCAATGAAATAGGAAACAACATTTGTACAAGATTTGCCCAAATGTGGCTGTGAATAAGGGAGGTAGTAATTAATAGGCAGGAATAATTCAAGAATGGGAAATCGTATAATAACAGTTCATAGGTTGAACTAAAGCTTATGATAAGAGAGACATCAATATGAAGTTTGGTTAATGAAAAATTATACGATAAAAATATACATTTAGTATTGGTCCACAAATGGATCCCAAAAATAACCATTCATTATTCTTATCGGGATACAACAAGTAGAACATGCATTCCAAAAACCATCAAATTGCATCACAAAGCAAACGCTAACTTGTCATCCTGAGGGGAAACGGAAAACAGGAAGACCAAATACCACACCCCAAGCTGCCATCTTTGGGGAAATTTTGGTGAAATCCCCAAAGTGAAATAGACTTCCCCAACTTCTGGGGAAATTTAGGGGTTTGGGTCTCATTTCCCCAAAATTGGCAGCTCGGGACTAAGTCGGGAATAGGAAGCAGATATGAGAAGGATTTATAGCAACCGGAAAGGCCTGTCGAGAACAGAGTTGTATGGGAAATCTCGATGGATGGCTTATGCTCCTGCACGAAAGGTAACAAGCGTAAGTAGGCATTCCATCCGATGAAGATCCGATAGTTTACCAACCGATTTATTATATACACCGACTGCCCTGTCTAATTGACGGTCTCAAATTACTCAAGCGATGCTTCGAAGACGAAATTAGAAACTACCTATGACTGTTCTTTATTTATGAAAGCCATGTTTTATAGCTATGTATAAATCAGATCGAAGCGGACTACTGCACAGCATACTTATGCTTTGCCCGAGGTTCATGACTGTATGTCCAGGTGACTCTTAAATACAGATGTATGTGTAGTAGGTACTATCTGACTAGTATACATTGACCAAATGGAAAGTTGGTGTTATTAATTATCAAAAGGTTGAAAGGAAAGCTCTTCAATTATTTTGTCCATAGTATTTTAATTTAAATGCAAGATAAATGGCAACCAGCTTCTTCCCAATAACTAAGTGCCTACGTATTGTAGCCTTTTGCATTTCCTATGCCATAAAAAAGGTTGGAGCACCTATCCTGTCATAACTTAAACTAAATGATGTCTAATTTTTGTCCATGTTTACTCTCCGAACTTAGTAATACTGACCTGTTGAAAGACATTTTATTACTGAATAATTTCAAATAACCCCAAACCACTTTATTTCAGCTGTATATAATGATAATATCCTAAATGAAACGACTCATCAGATCCATTAGCTTACATTTCTACTAGTTTTTCAAAATTCATACTTATTAGATCGATATTTTTTGTAGTTCACGTAACACATAATATGCTTTGTTTCGTATTATGCCAAAAATTCGGCAAACATTCCTATAACTCATACGTTAACATATAATTAGATAGTTACAACTAAACTATTTGTACGAGCTTTGTGAACAAACTAATTTACTACACAGATTGAATGTTGTAACAATTTCTTAAAAACTTCTAAGTGGGATGGGAACATCTGAATTTAGTGACTATTTTTACATACTAATTGCATTAATTTTCTGTCAAACCATTCATCCGGATATTGACGAATATTCGTACTAGTTGTTCGTTTATCAACGTTCAATTCCCTACCTGCGACCACTGAAAATGTCAGGAACGTTAAAAATTCTGTATCTACCCTAATTTATGCTACATGTGAATCTAAGTGTCTATGTAAGCAGAGGGAGGATGCCCCATCTTATTTATAACTTATTCCACGTATATACTTACATCCTACTTAACTCCACTGTTTAAAATACCAACCATTTGATAAATGAATTACGGTACGCGTAGAAATCACCTAGTGATAATTTATCGTGCTAAATACATTACTCATTTCAACACAGGCACTTCCACCCCGACATAAATATGTTACTACCAGTTAGAGCTGAACATTTAATGAGTGATAGTAAGAGATAGTACGAAATGTTGGGCAAGTCCTGAACACTACAAATTCCAAATCCAAGATAGGGATTTTATTGTTAAGCAACCCCCCCATCATGTGCAGTTCCATACATTCGGCTTCGAGGTACGCATCTGACTCGATGGTTATTTAATGATATAACGAGATGATAAGTCGAAACTACATCCTTTTATCCACTATGACTTTTTCAGCATTGCTTCCGTTTTAATTCAGTGTGATGATCACCCAGTGTAATATTTGCTTTCCAGTGCGATATTTTATTCTGTATAGCATACGACATTCTTGTACTAAGTTAACATGAACTAGACTCAGCATGTGATTTGTTATAACCAAGTATTTTCCACATGTGATTTTATCCTAATTACTATTCAAAATGCGTTTGCAATCAATATATTAATGAGTGTATTTTCGACTAGAATCGACAGATTTAAGGGTTAATAAGTCTTCATTTTTACCAGTTGTGTTTTTACATTCGTGTCGTGGGAATCAGTGTTTCCTCGTTTTCGAGTATAAATGATAAGCAATCCCAACGTAATAATCAATGATAACCAGATATAACAAGCAGCGTCCACATAGATCTCACAGTAATGCTACGGTTGGCGAAAGTTGCTGACCGGGTGTCCAACCTGTAGTCTAGTAAGTGCGATGAAATACTGGTCGTCCACGTGAGCACTGTATGACTTTGTGACGAAGTACCTCCCACTAATTCCCATTAAATAAAATTACACAGGCAAAACACCTAGAAATATCGTGCAAAAACTGATATCAAACATGTGGATCGCTTCTAATGTCCTGACTCCAAGAAATGAACATTACCCCATACGACTGGTCAATGTCGAGAAAAATGATGATGAATGAAGCGGTTGGGCAAGTTTAACTTCTTATTAACCATGGAAACTTTTCAATGCTAATGGTTAATGATATATTGACTGTGGTATCCTACGTTAAAATATAATTGGTCTATCCGCTGGGATCATTACTACTATTAATATTACCACTATCATGTAGATATTTGACACTGCGCCTGTGTGGTTGCAACCAGAGCGGATAAACGTATATATCAGTTTCTATCTCCTTTTTGATTGTCACAGTTCACACTATGGGAAATGAAGATATCCCAAGTTGAACATATTTGTGTATAAAAAAATCACATTGAAATTCCAAATAGTGCATATATACGTCTGAGCCGTTTCTGGCACATGTTTAGCCATTCACAATGTCGAATTTTTAAGGTCGCTAACACAGAAATAGAAATAACATTGTCACAAACGAGATATATTAGTGATCAGTGGAAGATCAATCATAATCGTAGTGAAAACATAATGCGATAATCGACTAGGTATTGAATTTTATTACCCATTGATAGTCTTAGATTCTACAGGACTAATTAAACTTGTTTCTTGTTCACATTGACACTAAACATTTTAGAACTCGCCAAAGTCGATGTCTTCAATTTTCTGTAGACTGATTTGAATTAACGATACAACCGGCCGAAGTTTAACGTCTCACAATGAAGTACAAAATCTAGTGGACTCGTTTACTGTTATGCTTGAAATGGTCACACTAAAGCTTGATATTTTTGGTTTTATCATTTGTGTTGATAAGACAACTAACCATATTAGTACACTATAACAGCTACGAGAAATACGTCTTCGTAATACCTAGTGCCAAGGAGCTGGTGTTGCGGACGTTCTGATTATACTGGTGGTCGAATGAGGGACTTGGGCACTTACGTAAAGTCGAAAGACCGTTTTTACAATCACATTGCGGTGAAGAGCTAATCCGCGTGGTGTAACTTATTACAAGATAGTTCGGTGGTGGTTGGCTGAGATGGTTTAAGAGATTTCTCAGGAGTCTTTCAAGAGGAAACTGGACATTACTAAGGTCTTAGAACAGTATTTCAACATTATTTACCAACATTACTCTTACGTTTGATAAATATGCCCAGGTTCATACCTCGAAGCATCGGCAATTCATGGATACGGAAGTCCATTAACCAAAAGTCATTCTTTTTTACAACCATTTGAACCATTAGACGTTGCTTAGGCGATCAAGACAATGATCTTTACGACCAATTCACTTTCCGTTACTCTGAGCGATTGACTTGATAATGTATACATTCACTGAGAAAAGTAATAATTCAGAAACATATCACATTGTATTTGTAAATTACAAGATGTTCATGAATTCCAAGATTCCAAAGACGAGGCGCCTCACTAGCTTCATGATTACGAAAGAAAACCAACTTACATATTTTTCGTGAATCAATCCATCCTTGAAGAAAACGAAGTATGGTGTCATACCATCCTCACGGAAGTTCATCAAAACTACCATGGCTTCAGGATTAGTTGACGGCCCCGTGAAACATTCATATTGGTCAAAGTTTGCGAAGACATCTTTCATGTACTTGTTGACCTGACTTTCAAGTAAGGGTAGCTTGTCTGGATCAGTCTCTTGCAAACGTTGTTTTATAGCTTTTAAATACGACTAGAACAATATCAATTTAACTGGATAACTTACTTTAAGTTGAGCCTTGTATGATTTTAGGTCGTAAGGAACACTTATGAAACCATTAGCGTGAACTAAATCAATGACCCTTTTACTCGTATCATCCACATCTTCATCGTCTTCACCCTCACCAGAAGGGTTGGCGCCAATAAGTCTCCCATCCACCTTACTTGAAGCTGTCGTAAACCTCGATTCTACTTCATAAAAGAAATCCGCGACGACACGAGGACAGTGAGAGTCTGTGAACATTTCATCCTCTGAAGAGAATATTAAAGATATTTATTCATACCAGTAATCATGTCCTTAAACACAATCATGGTGAGAAACAAACAAGGCGCACTTAATTGTAACGCTAAAGATGTGAAACGAGTTCAATGTACGACGTTACGATTCATTCAATTTCGATGATGCCAAATTTTTGTTTTTTGTCCAGCAGCAATAAAAACAGAAGTTTGCATTCCTTTGACGTCTGATGCAAATAAATGTTTTTAAATATCGAAAACCTTTAGTCGTAGTTTTGTTTCACGAGTAGCGGTAAATAAATCCCAAAAATAAATAGCTCTATAAGTCTTTGATGCTTACCATAGTCATTTTACTGGAAGCACTTAGCTGAAGCGCTCTGTCACGCATCCAAACCAGATCACTAGTGGGTACATCGTGCTACGCATCCCTTTCAGCTACTAGTTGGCTTAAGCCAAATGTTCATTCGAGATACGGATTGCCTTTTAAATATGTCTTCGAACTCTTTCACTCCTGAATTCTGATCTGATCGAGTTGGCGTAATTCAGTTATAAAAATGTTACTGGTTCAGGCGTTTTTAATCAACGAATACTTTTGGCATTGTTAAGGAATCTATGTAATGCCTAAACGCTTATATTCTTACATAAACCAAGGGACTAAAAGAAGAAGAAATAGCCCAGCACTATGGGGAGACAGTAATACTTCATTACAAGTGGAGGCCAACTGTGGCAAGGCTCATGTATTCTCAAACTACTTTAGCAACGTATACGTCGTAGAAACACCCTTCCCATCAGTTCATATAATTCCCCACCACATACACACTGGACAATGTAACCATTAAAGAACTTGATGTCTTTGGTCTGTCTTGATCAGATTACTTAGTGATAGATTTGCTTTTGATTTGCCCTCATGTTTTGTCCCTCAAACAGAGAACTTACAAGGACACTTCAAAATGTTAACAGACTCGAGACAAATTACTTGTCACTTTACTATCGACTTTCCCATCGAATCATCACCGAGTGTAATTCATTACCTCAACACATGATTGAAACTCCATCTCTCGATTCTTTAAAAAAAATTGGATTAACTGAGGGAACATCATTTTCAGGTCTAACATAGGCCATCTTGTCTCCTTTCCTATCCATACTGAAACTGATCTGTACATGATGACTAAAAAGGAATGGAATTTTTCACGTTTTGACAAAACTGGCTTTTGTAGCGTTAAGGAATATGTGGCTAAAACCTAACGCTTTTAGCTGAAGCTAGATGAAAGACTATCATTTCGAACTTTCTTAAATTTGACTTCAATCTGTTGAAGTTTTATTTTCAGTACACTTCTATTTTTTTATAGCTACGCCCAAAAAAGCTGTTATCGTCCCTCACGATTTTGACTAATTGTTTGGAAATTCCCAAAGTACTATTCCTATTCACTTGGTTAAAATGACCGACAAAAGTCATTGGTGTGGTGGCCTTTTGCGTATGCCATCTTTCGAATATTGTCTGCGACGTGACAGCTGGTGAAGCTGGCCCCACAAATGTGAATCATGCCACCACCAATTGCGTACAAGCTTTTCTGCAAGCCAGCTTCTCCCCGGTCATGCAGTGAATCCTGCCATAAAACTCAATGCTCCTAGGTCAAATATTTTAACTTCCCATTCTGTTAAAGATACTGGCAAACGACGAAACAATATCTTCGGTCAATCTGACACCAGATAATCATGATACAGTGCCATAGCTAAGATAACCGGTTCAACAGTTACCCTGGTTTGAGAGGTTGTGACTGCTATTTCCATTACTGTCGGCTAGGAAGTATTACCGGTTCAAACCATATTTTTTATTATTAACAAGAAGTCTTTATCTACTGATAAGAAAAACTACCGTTCTTCGAAAATGTGTCTAATGTAAGCACTGTTGAGTGGTTGAATGTGGACATACGGTGTTGGGAGAGCATAACGCCTACATACGATAATGTGGTTAATACAAACAAATGGGCGGGTCTGAAGTTCGAGGTGCCAAGACGAAAGAGAATAGATATGGGTTTGGTTCTGAAAATCAGTTAGGACAAATTCGATTACAATGTCAGGGTTTATTTTCCCTAGATATTGTTGCAGAAGTAAGAGATTTGACCACGTTCGGTCCCAACCGCCCACCAACCAGTATTTCTTTCCAATGAAACCGGGGAACTGAATGCGCTGTTACCAGAAGCACCATGGCGTAAATGCCCTTCAGAATATACCTAATTTTTTGACAGTAATCATTCGCCTCAACGTATATATTCTTTGGCTATGGAGAATAAATCATAAAGTAACGAAAATCCAGGCTTATCAATATTTCGGCTTTTCAGAACCCGCATATAATCCGTTCCCCTTGAAATAACCAAATTACTCATAGTTAACGAGGGCGCACGGGCTTCGGATTTTGCAACATTTTTGCGTGGTTATTATTATTTCTCTCATTGGATTTTCACTCAGAGTTATTATTTATCAGCGAAAAATACCATATTTTGATATAGGTTTCACTAATTTGATAATTCATCTTGACACGCATCTTCATGCACTTATTCCGTTAAATTTCAAGTAGTAATTTTCTTTTCGTTGATTAACGTTCATCTGTTACCTCTTGACGAATATTGGACTCGATCATACCGTCTAGTGTTGATCGTCTATTATGTTGAGTTCTGACACTAACCGTTCGGACAATATAAACGGCACTAATATTATTACCTCTTCAAATGATGTCCAGGCCATTTCAAAGATATGCAACCTCCCATGGATCCTATAGCGCCTGCAAGAGGTCTAAATCCGCCACCAAAACAAATCACGTGAGGCTATATTACCACGATAATCGGTCCGTATCATACGCTGACGCTTCAACGGCTATACTAGGCATGCACCATGTACCTCGAGATGACATCTCATTACCTCGCATCCTGCACCTTGCTCCCAAACTTCTCGGAGCAACGCGCCACTAAAGAGATCTGCCTCTAGACCACAGGAGGCAGATAATCATTGTTGGTGTTGGTACCGCAAGAAGTATGGCAAGTCTTCTCAAGATTGTAAAAGACCCATCGCTTTCCGGAAAACGATACGAGGAACTACTGCGCGAGGGCGCGTTAAAGACAGCCGCAGGCGATGAACATGGCCGTTTGTTATGCGTCACGGATTTCATTGCGAATGTTTGCCACCTCGACCATACATGCGCAGAAGTTATTGTTCCTCTCGTAAATCCTGACGACTGACTACATGAGGCAGTTTTCAACTTGCGGGCTGAAAATGCGAAACCGATCAACTCATACGGTAAGCGATATGTGTATCTCAACGTGGTCTTATACAAACCGATCTACTGGATTTTCGTTGTTGCAGATGTTTCAAAATCAATCATCTGTATAGACGTACCACAACTTCAAAATGTGCCAATCGACACGTGCAAACGGAGGTTAGTAGACGGAAATACTAATTTAACTGTTTGTGTAACTTCATTTTTTGTTGTATATCATCTCCAATCGGTTAAGCGAATAATCAACCCACAATACCAACGGATACACGACAAGTACTCTGACCTGTACCAAACGCAATCAAAATTACCGTGTATAACCACCAATGCTACACACTGTATCATAACCACAGGACCACCTGTATTCTCAATAGCGAGCTGACCAGCTCTCAAAAGGCTAGGGTCGGCCAAAAATGAGCCCAGCAATATCATAGACCTAGGAATCATTTACCCGTCGAACGACCCGCAGGCATCTCTCTTGCACATGGTCCCTTAAAAGAATAGCAATGATTGGCTTTCAACTTGTGATGATCGGCGACTGAATACGAAAACCACTCTCGATAATTACCCCTGACCACAAATCAAGAACTTGATAAATACTTTAAAAGATATGTATTTTCTATGACACTGATTTGGTTAAAACATACAACCAGATTCCCTTGGCTTCAGACGACATTCCTCGAACGACTGTCACCAGTCCCCTCATCCTATATGAATCTTCGCACATGCCATTCGGTTTAACAAATGGTGTACAAAAGATTCAGGGATTCATCGACTTCATCTTTTGAGGTCTCAATGTCGTACACGCGTACGCTGATGACTGCATGATTGGACATCCACACAAAGAATCTCATCTCCAGCATCTGGACCTTGTCTTCGAGCATCTCTAAAAACACAGCATTACTGCAAACATTCGTAAGTGTCAAATCACCTCATTCTTCCTAGGTTTTCTCGGACACACCTTGATGCTCATGGCGTCAGCTATCTGAAAATAAAGATGGCAGTCATTCTGGATTAACCAGAACCAACCACAGTCAGGCAATTACATGCGTTCAACGGCCTGATAAGTTTTAATCGACTCATTACAACGAATTGCGCATTTCACGTGAGACCTTTAACAGATCAACTTCGTGAAAAAGCGAAACTCAATTTGCGGGACGATGCGACTAAAACATCCTCCACAGCCAAGGGACTTATCGCCAAAGCAACAATACTCGCACATCAGAACACCAAAACACGCATTAGTATCCGACTCGACAACTGAAGGAGTCCTTCGACGGTTGGTAAAAACTGCTGGCAGCCTTTAGGACTCTTCTCAAGACACTGAATCGAGGTATAACGCTTTCGATAGGGGACTCACAGACATGTATTTTTCTGTCAGTTACTCTCAACACTATGTGGAAGATTAAGAATTCACTCTGTTTACCAATCATAGACCTCTTACCTTCCTTTTATGCTCATCTTCAGACAAGTACTTTCCTCGTGATTCTCGACAGCTAGACAACATTTCGCTTCAGATATACAGCACATTTCTGGGGCGAACCACGTAATTACAGACAATTTGCCTCATATAACTACCTTGAAATTTTCAAGGAATCGGTCTTCATAAACACGTTCAGCCTCAAAAAGAGGACGTTGATGTTCAGCACGACTTATCTTCATAAGATAGTTTCCCAAACTCTACCGTTTCCTGCAAAAAGCAACAAATCCGAGACAATAATCACGCCTTATCAATGTAGAGATTATGCTAACGCTGACTGGGAAAAACGTTCAATTTTTAATTAGGCACTCTGGTTACAATAGT